TGTGTGTGTGTGTGTGTGTGTGTGTGTATGTTTATGTGCTTACACACACGGCTTCTGCCTTTTAACTAGAGTGTATTGAAACACTTTTAATCCGAGTCTACCCAGTAGCTGAACCCAGCAGGGCTTAGGTGGGTCTTAAAATACCATTGCCAGAACCTCCTCACAACATTTACAGAACATTTTCCAAACAGATGGGTGCTTGGCAGTGGCATAGCTCTGAAGCCAACACTACCCGCAGGCACAGATGATGCCCACACATCTGGACACACTTGTTGTCCTGCACTCAGGAAGCAGTCATTTGCACGGCAAGCTGCTCCGACAACAAAGCTGCAAACACACGCGCCCGCCACACACCAGACAATGCCTTGGGGCAGTTCTACTTCTGTTCAATTTTCCCCAGAAATATAAGTGAAGGTTTTTTCAATCTGGGTTTAGAATCTCTTGGAAGTGCAGAAGTGAGGTCTGTAATCTGCAGTGGGTCGCACTTTTAGCCAAAGAGTGTTTTATTCCAGGCATAATTTGTATTCCGATCTAAATCTGACACGCCACAGCCACAGATCAGAGCGGAACGCTTCTGGTGTTTGGGCAAGGGGTGGAGGGGGGAATGAAAGATGAGAGGGAAGAGAGGAAAAAAAGTTACTGTTTTGTTAACTGAAGCGCTTTGAGTTAGCGGCGTGCTGTAGATGCTCTGCATCACACACAGCTATTTTAAGCATATGAAATACAAGGTCATACCCCTTCAAAATGGCAATATGTGCATGTCAGTATGATGGAGGGATCCCACGAGGAGTTATCTGAATGGCACCTGCAACATTGTTATTATTGGATCAAGCTTTTAGATAGTCCAGGCTGACAATCTCTGTTCCACTCTGAGTACCTGCTAAACCCAGCTGCCTGGTATAATTTTGTGTGTGCGAGCATGTTTTTATGTGTGGGAGATAAGCTGTTTTTGACCTGTGTGAAGCGCTGGCATTGACCTGACACTTAATCCATCCAAATTAATGGACTCTTCATACTTTTTTCATTCACTGTTACATGCACTT